ATATATACAAATTAAAGGCATATTGTTATATCAGTTGATGATATAAAATTTTCTAAAATGAAGAAAAGGAAAATTGAATTTGTTATTTGAGAATTTCAGTATTTGACTACCTACCAACCTTATGTTGGTATATATTTGCTATAGGTATATATATTAAATCAATATTTWATAATTAAATCTGGCATACTCATATTTTWATTTATTTACGTGAAAAAAGAAAAATTAGTTTCACMTCTACCATGGTCTTGACTCAAATACGCGCTTGAGGTCCACGAACATTTACCCGGTTGTCAGATCCAGTTCCACTGATACGCCCTTAATGAAGAGTGAAACTAATGCAACCACAGATTAAGTAGCAGCGGGCACAAGTTTACGTATGTACCTACTTTGAACAAACGAAATACACTATTAAAACATTGAAACATATAATTATAAATGCTCGCATATATACCTACCACTGTTAAATATAAGTAAGATGTAGGTAATTAACAATTGTATTCCATACATTCATATTATAATATAATATATAATTTTCGACGTGGCCAGTAGGGTACACAGATATTTTTAATGGGGCGGATTTTACACATAGAAAGATTTATTTCTATAAAAAATATATATATATGTATTATATATTATTAATATCAAAATATTTTTTTAATTTTATTAATTTTTATACATTTATACAAACAGCAAAAAATACCAAGTATTAACTAACCTAATCAACTACACCGCAGTAGATAGTCTTCAGTTTTTCTCGTCATAAATATGACTACCTATCGAACGTAACACTGATTTTATATTACGTTTAGGTTTAGGAGTAGAGTTGCATTATTGAAATTATTATTTTAGTCTTACATCGGTAATTTATTATTTATTCAGTTTGAATTTTATATTTATTATTTTTATGTTTCTTTTATTAGTTTTTATACTTTAATGTGAACGAGAATAAGRGAAAATGGCCATTTTATAGTACTATACTACTATACCTAATATAATATTATGCTGTTAATTTCTCCAATAAATATTTAATATTTAATAAAAGACTAGCTAATAAGACTTCCAATTGAAAACTTCTGACATTTTTTTTCAAGATAAATCATCCAAATTATCGTGTTCAACATTTCTGTAATAGACTGAACTATTGATTTACATATGTAAATGTTGACCTTTAGAAATAAATAGACATTTATAAAACTTGATTATAATAAGTTCACACTAAGATTTAAATTATTATCACTATCGAAAAAGGAAACGATCGATGAATATATTAGGTGTCTATAATATTAGTAAGTATATTTTATGATATTATAAAGATAAAAGTAATTTATTTTAGCTACTGTTAGGYATTTTAAGTATGATAATAACTGATACCAACAGTGGCTTTAGAACTAGAAATACAATTTCAAATGGTCGCATCGTAAGGTGTGTCGTTTTCATTTCCATAATGATTGCAAATAATATTTATAATAATTATACAAGACCTAGGTATGATATTAGTTTCTGGTGCTTTGACGTGATGCCCTTGGGAGCCGCGATGCATTGTTTGAATACTTCTGGCATAAGTTTTAATGAAAAACCCTTGTTTTAATTATGCTGTAAGAATTTAATATTTTATAAATTTTTAACTTCAAACTAATTTGCATATTAATGAGATTTTCATAAATTAAATAYTGTTTATGGATCTTTAATATTTCTCAACTGCTCTTAAAATAACTTAAGAACTTTAGGGAACCTTACGAAAGTCCTAGAAAAAATTTGTTAAGACATTTATAGATAAAACATTATAGAATTTTTTAATTTTAAAATGTTTTTAAATAGCTCAAAACGAGTCAAAATACTCCGAAATTCGTATTAAATATAGAAAATGATAAGTGAAATAATTTTTTGTAAAATTTAAGTATACGGGTAATAGTTTTTGAATTAAAACAAAATAATAAAATCGTACTATAAGAATTTGGAATTTGTTATTTTACGGGTGAATCATAAAAATTTAAAATTCATATGATCATGAAATATATAGTGTATACTTACGCTCAACTTTTTTAAATTTCCAATGATAATTTTTTATTGTCAATGATTAAAGAAAAAAAAGTAGGTATTTATTAAGAATAAACTTTCTTATGACTTTAAGTTGCTCAAAAATAGTCAAAATGTAAAAAAATTTAATTCATGGAMTATTTTCATATTAACATATAGTGAACATTTAAAGTACACGAGGTTATTAGTTTTTGACTTTTCGAGTCAAAAAAACAAAATCGAATTTGCATTTATTATATTATTAAAATTTAATTATTATTACAATATATATTTTTATCATTTATTATTTTTCATAAATTATACAATAATGGATAAACGATGGTAATGCATGCAATSCAGTGGGTATTTATGGTATTTTACTYAATAGAGAGAAAGGCAATCTCTCACATTCGCGAGGGGTCGTTTGTTATTTTATGTTATACATGTGTAATGTAATTTCAAATAATTGTTCAATTTATGCCGAAGTTGTAAGGTTTCATGGTCTACCCATTCTTATACATTAACTTTAACTATATATTATTGCTATTCACTTTTGAGTCAATATCGCTTTTACCTTTGAACGATTGAACAGTGTTAATTATAGGTTTGTTGTTTAAATAGGCAGTGACCAGTATTAGATAGCTTTAAATGAATATAAGTATAAATGTTTTGAAAATTTATGTTATATACCTTTGTGGCTTCGTATATATTACATACGTATTTTGGTATATTATAATATATTAATTATGAGCAAGTTGTAAGWAGTTTTAAGTTTAAATAACAGTTTAAGCTTAATAGAATCTAGTGGTGTATTTCAACTCTCAATCTCAAACAGGGGCGGATCCAGTGGAGCGACTACAGTTGTTTAACACCTAAAATTCTTGAGAGGTAGGAAAACTGAAAAAACTTCTTTTGTGACTCAAATAAATCCTCTCGAATTTAATTTCTACAATAGAAATTATTTAATTTTAATTTTATGTCGTTTCGTGAAAATTGTATTATTATATTGCACAGTTAAGAATATAAAAGCATATCAAATAATATCAGACATACTGACATACTGCAGCCTACAGTTTAAATRAACGAAAAAAAACTGTATAAGAGGCATATGGTTATTTTAATTTTTAATAGACATTTTATAAAACTACTGTAATTATTTTTAATAGATAAAGCAATCTCATCGTTAGACGTTAATATATTGTCAAACAAATTATTATTTGCGTGTAATATATCTATATATTTGACTATTTGAGTTTATTTTACTAGGAATCATAATTATATTATTGTTTTCACTTTTCTAATTGTTAAATATTCGATTTTCAAATAGGTATAGCGTTTAACAGGAACAATATTAAATTACCTACAACCTACCMACTTTTACAAATGATCAATTTTTATTTACGGTAAATATTAATAATATCCAATACTCATATTAATATTGTAACTTAAATATAATCGATGGGAATAAAGAAAAAACGTACTATCGCCAAACGTCTATCGAAGTTACCCACCATCGATAGTTCTACGAGGCGTTATCACTAATTTTCTAGCTGTTTTTCGGTGTACGACACTCGATGTACTGTACATCGGTACACCGGTACGGTATCATGTTCTGGGGTAAATGTTTATAACAGGTGTTTATTTGAATTATGTCTGGTGCACGTATAGTATTTGAAATTATGTTCAGTAAATATAACAAATATTGGCGCGATGCAAAATTTAGAAAACTTTACACGGATTATCGTTCTAGACGAGTTAGTGCTATTTGTTCGTATGACATCCAAAAGTGGGAAATGTGTTGAAGTTCGCAGTCTCAAGTCAGCAAATCAAACATGTTGAGAAAAAAATTAACGCACATTCCGATCGAAAGAGATGATCGACAAAAGCGGTGTCGCWAGTTGCAACGTATGCGCCGATGGGACATGAACGTCCGCGTAGAAGGGATAGAGAGAGAGAGTCGTAACCAACACGAGAATTTCGTCAACGATCGATTCACGGTCGCGGCGCACTCGTAACCACAACAATAATAATAATAATAATAATAATAATAGTACAACGGTGCCGACCGTTTCGCATCGGCTGGGCGTTGTGCAGCGGCAAAGTCGAAAACGTCGGCCCGGTCACATGGCCGTCGATTGTCCGCGATAACGAATGAAAAGCAGCAGCAGCAGCAGCAGCAGAAGCAGCAGCAGTAGTAGTAGAACAATAATGATGGTAGGGCTGCCGATGCGTTTTCGTAGTATTAGTTCAAACTCGATCCGTTCCTTCGATCAGTCTTGCGTTTGATCGGCCGGCTCGTGGTCTGTCCCGGTGTAGACGTCTTCTTGCTGCCACTGTTGTCACTGTCACCGCATACGAAGTATACACTTTTTTTTATTAATTTTTTACCCTCAAATCATAACGTACTGGTTAACGGTTTCGGGGATTTTTTTTTGTCTGAAAAAAAAATTTGAACTCCAACGATTGTTATACGGTCACGATTATAATATTGGATTTCGCACGCCTAATGAAATTTTTATTTTATTTTTTCCACGATGATAGGTACACTGTGTCTTTCTTGATTATTCAAAATCGTTTCAAATGGTGACGGCCCACGGTTTTGCTTTTCGTGCACTCTAGTAAGTGGTATACGTACGAGCACATCGTGGCTATATCATTCACAACTGACAACACGATTTCGTCTTCGACTTGTCGCCGATTTTATTTAAGAAAAAAGCAATACGCTTAATCTCGAGTCCATGGCCAACAAAATGCGGTCCAAGAACCCGCCAGAGAAGAAGACGCCGCCGGCTCCGGCGCCGGTTATCAACAAACTACCCCCGGACGGTGGTTGGGGCTGGTTTGTCGTGTTCGGATCGTTCATGATACACGTAGTCAGTGAGTGATTCTTAATAATATCACAAATAATTTTTATAGTTAGGTACTCATAACGAATTATAATAATAATAATAATAATAATAATAATAGATAATTTTACTGTCAGAAATAAATGCGTACAAAAAAATCAACACTCGCGATTATATTTTAATATGTTTACATTTAATATTCTATTTTAAACTCTCCTAATTCACATTAATTTAATACTCGCTATGCCTTTTGGCACAAAGCCACTTAGCTTGAACACATTAAAAAAAAAAAAAAGTATTATTATAATATCTTACRTTCGTTACGATTTGTAATTGTATATTATTTTCGATTAATCAGTCTTTGGGCTGACCAATATACCTACTGTTTGTTTTCAATGATATAAAGCGCTAGCATGTTATCATTTTATCATATTATATAAAACAAAAAAATACGGGAGATATTATTAGCTTCCCTTATTTTGACAATATTGAGAATTTAAAAGCATAATATAAGAAACTAAAAATAATAGATACCGCCATTTAAAAAAAAATATTTTGTCTATTCCTATGTGTATTGAATCTGTACTTAGTGATCAAGTTGTTTATATTATGATTAAGGCAAACACTGTTTCAATACAATTTAAAATTTTGTATCACCAATTAATTTTTAAATACGAATGTTATTGATGAAAACTGTTATGAATTGTGTGTTTAACTATTTGGTCTGTTTCCAATTTCTAAGCTTACTATTGCCCACTAGGTACCTATATATTTATTTTATTGTTCTTCAATGAACAATCAGGTATAAATGATTTTAAAGATTTAAAAATATCAGACATTTAAGTACTTTTCTATGTACTGTTGCATTAGTGAATGGATAATAGTTCAACATAATTTAGGCACCTACACATTATACATTAAATATTTATTTAAACTAAATTATTTTCTGTTAACTAAGATGTTATTTATAATTGGCTGATTTATTTCTTAAAAAAAATTGAATTTTTATATGATTCAAATTAATTAAAATTTACTGGATGTTAATAATAATCTGAGCATAATATCTATGAATAGTTAGATTACTATTAGACCATTTTAAGAGTAAATTTAGTTTGAAAATAGTAAGTACACAGTACGTGTTGTATTTCCTACCTAAATATATGTTTTCTAAAATTAATAAATAATAAGAAAATTAATGAATCCATCATATTAACTATTTCATAGTCTTGAAAATTATATGTAAAATATGTAACAATTTAAGTAAAATATGTGAAATTAGCATAATATATTGATATTTACTATAAAGTTACATGAAAACCTTAGTGTGCGTATGGAATATATAATAATAATTTTGTTAAAAATGCTCTGCTTAAACATCTGTTTTTGAAAATGAATGAATAGAAATTTTTATTTATACTTGACATACACAATGATTGTCATAGTTCAATCGATTTATTCATATAACCAACAATTCTTATGTTATTTCAGTTTATACTGCCTTACATTGTGATATGTATTTATAATGATAACTGTGGTTGCTTAAATTTTAGTGTGTGTTAGGTACTTAGTATCTTATTTTTTAATTTTTTTTATGAACTTTACCTATTCATTATCCATAACATATATATAACAGAAAAATGCAGAATTTACAAACTTTCTATGTTAAGTTTTTGTAATAATATTTTATTGTTTTAGAATTATTTAAATCTTAATATCTAATGGTTTGAATTTATCTTGCCAATTTCCACTAACAAGTACACTGTAGGTCAATTTTTATCACACAATTAACATTTTACGAGTTAAAATAATAATTATTAATAAATATAAATATGATAATATTTGTCTTTGAATACGTTCTGATTTATTTAAAAATGTATTTATTAGATTTATTAAATAGAAATGCTTGGTTATTGTGTAATGACAGTTTCCGAGATTAAATTTAAGTATGATAGTATTAGACCTCATAGGTCGGGTATCATTAAATTATAATCATAAACGTCTTGACAGTATAAAGAATAGATAAGAAATTAACTTTAAAAAACAATCTCTAAATGTATATATTATATATATATATATATATATATATATACATATTTGTATACACGAATAATAAGTATTAATAACTAATAAGTAATGACAAGTAATGATTGATTAATATTAGGTACATGAATTAAACTAATTAATATTTATTTACATGAGTTTAGTTGTAAGTTAATTGATGCATAGATATTATGCAAGCAGCAATTATTTAAATCACCTAATTTGTCATAAAATAATTTCTATCTTATAAATTTAACAATTATTTTGTTTTGTTTCAATTGTAGTTTAATTCATAATTAAATATTTATTAAGATTATGTTTCATAAATTATCTGACATTTTTAAATATTTTAAGATGGGAAATAGTTGGGTATTTAAAATAAAATGTGCTCCGAAAATATATCAGCTACTTGTTGGCTCTAGCATATTGTAAGTTTATAATTTATAAATTATAATATTATAGTTTTTAAATTTTACATGTTCTTACATTATTCCAATTTATAAAATATGATGAAATGCTAAGGTTTTGGTTTGTTATCCGATAATAAATTAATGTTTACACATATATACTTTATGGTTATTATCTCATTAAAATAAAATGTTAACCTTTAGTGATACGTGTAACTATTTACCCCACTCTATTTTTAACATCCTATAAGTTATTTTGTGTATTTTTCACACTCATTACCCCATTAAGTAATACAACCTTTTATTAATTATTGCATAATTACAAAAATGCTTAAATATAATTTTAAAATTTTTTTATTTAGATAACAATTTGATTCTAAAAATTAATATAYATACTTCAATGGTAAGTTAAACAAATTGCTGTATAATTTTTTGTACAATAATAAACTTTGTTAGGTATTAATACAATTTTTCTAAAAATATTAATSTTATACTCTATTCACTGAACTAAATACATGTATTAAGTTCAGTGACTCTTTCTCACAAGAGAATAATCACTTTTTGCGTATCCCAAATCATTCGATTGGCATGTTGAGAACCGTGTCCTCACCCTAACAATGGTAAATTGTTGAGAGATGTGCAGCATTAATGAGAATCGGTCAGTAGACTGATTATTCTCTGGGGGACAGAGTATAGATATTTTAATGGAACAAAATTACTTCAGCCTGTGCACAATCATGTGCTTTGATGCTACAAACATTACTAAAGATTAATAGTTGTAAAACTTTTCACTAACTTAGTATATAATTACACAAAAAGTATCAACTTGGTGAAAATGTTTATGTAAATACTATATAATAATATTTTGCTCAAAGTTTTATTAAATATTAATTATAATGGGCTATTAATAGGTACTATAAATCTTAGATAACCAAGTGATTGGCCAGATTAATTTTTAATTTTTTGAATATCATATATAATACTATAAATCTATAATTTATTATGAAGGTTATTTCAACTGTTTAATGATAAAGCAGTAAAAATACTTTACAGTTTGTGCATCTTTAAAAACTTTATACAATTTTTCAAGTATTTTTATGCATATAAATTGCTAATTAGTGTTAGTGATTAATATTCTTTGTATATTTATGAAATGCTTAATGTATAATTAATGTGTAGAAAATATTAGCACATTCTGCATTACTTTTTTATAAAAATCTGGAACCCAGCTTAAATTTTTTTAACCTTAAAGTTTTGGTCTTTAAGGGCTCAGTAACCGTGGAGAGTAGTATTGTGTCCTATTCATTTTCTAAGTGCATAATTATTTCATTGCATGGGAACAGGTGTTGGGTAATAATTGTCAACTGAGCTCCAAATTCAACCGGCCATTTGTTATAACTTATAAGCTTTTAAGTAGAGATGTTACGAACTATAATATTTAAGGTCATACCGAACCCGAACCGAACATTTCTTTAAATTAATAGACTCGAACAGATCCGAACCTACACACTTTTAATCGAACTCGAACCGAACATTAAAAGTTAAATTGGATATTATTTTATTTAATATTTAATTATTTATTTATTTATCATTTAGCCACCATACCTCAGAATTATTGAATAAAGATTTTACTACTATTTACTTAAATACTTTAAATACTTTAATACCTAGTTAATAATTATTATGCATGAGATTTTTAATTTTTAATTATTAATATGATGATAACTGATAAGAAAAATCAAAAAACATCAATATTTAAAACAAGCAAACAGTAAACAACTAATATATATTAATCTATTACCTAATTATTAATTATTTAATAATAATTTATAATTTTAGCCGTTACTCCATCAACTTTTATTTTTATTTCTCTGGTTTGATTATCGAACGGAACTATTAGATATTTGGTTCGGTTCGGTTCGATTATTTGGAACTTCCAGTTCGGTTCGGTTTGAAAATCGAACAGTCCGTAACATCTCTACTTATAAGTTAAATATCATAAACCCAAAATTCAATAATGAGGCTCATCAAGTTTAGCTTAATTGCACATTGACCCAATCTGGCCCTGCATAGAAATGTCAGTTGGCATTCTCGATTATCAGATTTATTATCTTAAAACTACTTTTTATGGTAGAACTGCAAAAGCTTTTATTTTGTGATTGCAAAAGGACAGCCATCACATAGATCGTGTTCTTTTAAATCTTATGTAAAAGTTTTTATGTAATAAGAAAATGGTATTCTGTATAATTTGAAAAATCTTAATTAGTGATTTATTGACTTTGACAATCGTCATACCTTTCTGCCAGGGTATACTTATTAAAATGTTATGGTTTAAAATTTATTATGTATACAAATCTCATTATTATTTCTGTTCTTGCGTATCAGGCTACTGAAACTTAATGATTTTTGATTAACTCAGAATAAATTTGTTTAGTAACATCATACTTTTTTTTTTAAATCCTATTGATATTTTTTAAATGAATAATTTCTAAAATATAACTTTTTTTGTTAATTTTTAAAGTTTAACTATTAAAGGTATCATTTTGCAATTAAAAATTTTGATTGATAAAAATAGCACAATAAAAATATAAAAAGCATAATATTCATTATCTATATTTAAATTATGTCAGTTTGATTATTTATGTAAGAATTGATTTTAAATATATGTCAATGCTATTCCACTTGAATAAACTCATTGAAATAAGTATKATAGTTATTAAAAGGAAAATTTAATAAGGTATATCTTGAATATATTTAACACAATTATTAGGTATCTAATTAATGACATAATTAATTTTGTAATCCCTAAAAATCTTATTTCTTACTTGGGTTGTTCCTACTTTGTTAACTCAGCATTTTTCCAAACAATAGAATCAAGGTAGGTAATATATGTAAGCGTTGAGTGTATATATATATATATATATTTACTAAACAAACTATCCGCGACGTCTGTGACCATTAGACGTAACAGTACACTATATATATATATTTACATTGCATGGATTTTTAAATGATAATAAACAGGATTACGCATTTAGGTGTAAATATAATAATTTAAAAAGAGATATGAAAACAAAGAGAGAGGTTAAGTATTAAGATCAATCTACAACTTATTTATTAGATATTTACGTTTCTGAAAGGAATTGTATGATCTTGCGTAGGTTGTTAGGATCTGTGTTGAGTATCTCAGCAAGGTGGTTGGAGATATGAAATAGCCTTCTTTTCTTGCTGTACATTCTGCATTAGATTAAAATATGCTTAACAATGAGAGATACTTCACAACATGAGCATATTGCGTTAAGTATATATTTTACAACATATACTCAATGATATAAGTTTAGTTAACTATAGATTCTATGTAAAATTAAGTTAAAAAAAAAAAAATTACAGTATAACAGTATTTATGTGACTGTAAAATAAAATTAATTACCTTTGTTTTTAACGAATATCTATTTCAGATTGTTAATAAATCAAATCAATTTTAATATTTAAATACTTGATCTTAATAATCTTAAGTGGTACTTAGACTATAAATTAAAGTTTCCTTTCTGATACGAAAAAGTTGTTGAAAACATTTGTAAATCAACACTAAAATTAATTCATATTATATTAACATATCATAATGAAACTATTATAGTTTAAGTAATACCTCTTTAATAAATGCATAGGTATTCATTAAAAATAATACAACATAGTATATTGAATATCTATTATAAAAAATGTAAACATCTAATTTTTGATTTTAAAAATTATATTATTTTGTTTTAGTATAATATTTAAAGAAGTATCAAATACTTTTAGGTGTCTAATTTATAATTTTTTTAATAATTGTATAAATTAGTATACCATTATTAATTATTTTATTAATATTTCTTTTCAAAATAAATGTCTAATTGAAATAAAAATGTAAAAAAGTTCTTCTATTTTGGCTCGTATAAATTGCATGATTTACCTATATTTATAATATGAATTTTAAGTTATTTTTACCATTTAAAAATAGGTATAAAATTACAATTAGTACTGMTCTACTCAGAATTTAAAACTATCTAATTATTATAAATTCAATATATTTCTAAAATATTAATGTTATTGTACATTAATAACTAATAATAAATATTCAGGATTTGGTATTTAAATCACCTAAGATCATTGTAATAAAAAAAAGGCGGGTGAGTGGATGTCGCTCCACTGTACAGTAGGTTACAAGTGGGTTACTGTAATGGATGGAATTAAATTTGAATCCAATGATATTTTATCATTGTATAAGAAAAACGATTCTGAGCAAAKACGGCTTATCTGTCTAGGATATATTATAGATTATTAAAAATTTTCAAATCTTAGATTTAARAWRAAATTTTTTTATGAATTTCTAGCTTAGAATAATTTGCGAATTTTCGTGATCTTTACGTATGTTGTCAAAATTAAAATTTGAATGCTTATAAAAAAAATTGTGACTTTTCATAAGTAAAATAAATTGCATTTCATTTTTCATTTTGGTAGGTATTAAATTTAGAAAAACTATACCTAACTTTCAAGGAATTTATTTTAGATTTTAATTGAGTATGTTTTCATAAGGTTTTAAATGTAGATTGTTGTTATTTGAATTGAAACCATTGATTAAAAAAAATCAAACAAATACCTAATAAATTAATAATAACTAACGTTATCCATGTATTTTTTTTTTATAGCTGATGGTGTAACTTATTCGTTCGGTGTTCTATATACAGAATTTTTAGAAGTTTTCAAAGAAAGTAAAGGGGCAACTGCATGGATTGCATCCTTATTGGTTGGAGTTACTTTATGTTCAGGTAAAAATTTAATATTTTTGATACATAGATATATGGTTTATAAATAGATTGATGTTATTTTTGTTGATTAAAATAGTTCCTATCATATTTTTATTTTTTTAGTTAGTACATTTCAAGAAGTATTTATACACTTCAGTATAATGAAATAATGTATATCCGTGTATATGTTACGGGCAAAGTGGAAAATTCGGACAATGTATACAATGCCCGGGCATTGTATACAGTGACCGGGCATTGTATACAATGTCCGAGGTATATTGGGCAATGTAAATTGTTAAGTATTTATACAAAATAATCGGCATAATATATTATGTTTAATCATCA